AAAGCTACACAATGGGCTATCTATTCTCTGCCCACCGCGGGTATCGAAACCCGGTTTCTAGTATTGTAAGTCCGCAGAAATTCTACTGTGTCACGGGGGGGGGGGCAAAATTATAAGTACTTATAAATTGTCTCCCAACGTTTCTAATATTCTTACTCTTGTATATTCTATCAGAGAAGCTTATTACCTGGAAACAAATCATTCTAAAATGTTGTGCACCGAAATATATATATACAGTTTTAAACATATTCATGGACACAATATTTATAACATCAGTACACTTCATATAGACAGTCAGTACAGTATGTTTTGATGTATCAGCACATGTTCTGACAGTCAGTTCAGTATGTTTTGATATATCAGCACATGTTCTGACAAACAGCACAGTATGTTTTGACTTATCAGCATAATATGTTTGATAAACAGCACAGTATATTTAGACTTATCAGCACAATATGTTCCTACAATCAGTGCTGTTGACAATTAGCGCCGCAAGTTTTGACAATTAGTACAGTATGTTTTGAAAATCAGTGCACACACAGAGTATGCTTTGACTTATTAGAGATGAAAATAACCGCTAAAAGTACAGGAAAGAAAAGCCCTGGTTCTCTAGAACGCAAGAATGAAATACAGTTTCAAAAACAGGTCTCTCAGCAGAAATAATTAACGTTTATTATGCTTACTTCAAACAGTTTCATTTTGTTTTTTAAGAATGCGAATATTTTGATCAACTACCTTTCTTACTAATGCCTGTTTGACGTCAAGACGACTCAGAACTTACATTATTTTTTCTTAAACTGTGTTTGATGTCTTCTTTGTTACCTTACAAACCATTATTTATCATAATAATGTCAAACGATTTGTGTCCAGACCTCTCGTTGAAATAGTGTGAAATCGGAAACATCATACCAGTACTTTCTGAGTTTATTCTTCCAGCATTGTAATAAGAACAATGGTTCTATCCTGATTGTCTGACAGGTAATAATGATAAGTAGCTTTTCTGAAACTATAGTAAGCATATAATTGCACTTTTACCGGCGTTCTATGTAGTTGAAATTACAACTCAGCGTTAACTATGAAGGCTTATAACACTAAAAACCGGGTTTCGATACTCATGTAGCTTTGTGCTTAAGAAGAAACAAACAAATACTCCACTAAGGAGACTGAATGATTGAATGACAGAAAAACATTGGATTCTGATTTAATGCAACTATAACTCATTGTTTATGTTCTATGAGCATGTATAGTAGCGATCTATCTATTTTGGATATAATAATACGGCCTTGTTCCCATACTGTATAGTTTAGTATAACATTTTTGATATAGTTATATACTAATTTATGAGGGGGAATCATTTTAAATGTTTTTATAGGTGTTTTTGTTTTCGCGCAGTGATACACAATGGGCTGTCTGCACCCTGTCCATCGCGGGAAATAAAATCCTGTATTTAGCTTTGTAAGTCCGTAAACTTACCTCTGACCCACCTTGGAACTATTTAGAACGACAACTTTACCAATTTTTGATAAAACAAGGAAAAATATTTTGACACGATGTTCAAATGACGAGTCTTAAAATTAGAGAGTGCATTTTTGACGAATATGTGTGATTATAGATCGTAGTATTTACTTATTATTTATGAAACCTAAATTAATTTACTAAAATTATTGGTTACTTCGGTAGATAGATAAACTTAGAACTTGTTTTGAGTATCAGGAAGCAACAAATGCATTGTTAGGTCTCTGTTATATTTTTGGCATAGCAATGGGAATCGTTATTTAAGCTGATATTTCATAAAATATGGTCATTTTATGTTAGTAAGTAGGCATGAACATATTTATCACATAGAATAAATGTTAGTAAGTAGGCATGACCATTTCTATCACATAGAATAAATGTTAGTAAGTAGGCATGAACATGTTTATCACATAGAATAAATGTTAGTAAGTAGACATGAACATGTTTATCACATAGAATAAATGTTAGTAAATAGGCATGAACATGTTTATCACATAGAATAAATGTTAGTAAGTAGACATGAACAAGTTTATCACATAGAATAAATGTTAGTAAATAGGCATGAACACAGAACCCGTAGCATTATAATAACATTTATAGCAGTTTCGCGTGACTAGTAAGTGCAATATTTGAGAATAATTCTTTCAAACTTACTTGACTTACCCAATCACTTGGAATTTATATTCACTTGCTGTGTAATTACAGCTCAAAAAACAAACTCAAACTAGCAGTAAAAAAATTACTTCTTAAAGCCACTGAGATTCGCAAACCTAAACATAAAAATGGAAACATCTATATTAAATGGTGTACCTTTAATACAGTTTTAACGTAAGTTACTTACAAAGTTAGTGGATATGTAGAGTACTTACGAAACATGAAGCGGTGATTTCTGAATCGAGATGACACCATATTAACGTCTATATTAAATGGTGTACCTTTAATACAGTTTTATTGTATGTTACTTACAAAGTTAGTGGATATGTACAGTACTTACGAAACATGAAGCTGTGACTTTTGAATTGAGATGACACTATATTAACGTCTGTATTAAATGTTGTACTTTCAATACAGTTTTAACGTAAGTTACTTAAAAAGTTAGTGGATATGTACAGTACTTACGAAACATGAAGCGGTGACTTCTGAATCGAGATGACACCATATTAACTATATCTTATAAAAATATAAAGCACATTTCAAAACCATGAAATAAAATTAAATATCTATATTAATGTATGTTAAATAAATAAATGTACACAATTTGCAATGTAAGTTTTTATAGCTAGTAGGTAAACATCAATGCTTATGGGGATTCACTAACATCACTGTTAACTACTGGCATCTGTTTATTAAAATTTGTTTAGCATCTACGTTCTGTAGAAACAAGAAGTGAATTATATTGAAAATTCTGATGTTTTATGTAGTGACATCTAGTGATTTATAAAGCTGTTAAACTTGTTATTTTTATAAAGAATATTAATAGGCAAAGAGATAGAATGAGTTTTATAACTTAAACGATAGATTAAGGTTTTCATTAGTAACTTTCTCGACCAGCGCAAGTAGAAATCAGTAAAATACTAGTTTATTTATTTGAATTTCGCAGTGATAGACTAGATGGAATGTATCTAGTCAACATCACCCACCACGAACACTTGGGCTATTTTTTACCAACGAATAGTGAGATTGACCGTCACATTCTAACGCTCCAACGGCTGAAAGAGCGCTCATATTCGGGAGAAAATTCTAATGCCACTGATACTTGAACATTAAAATCTCTTTAGTAACCTTCCAAGTCGTCTCTATTGGGTTATAATAATAAAGTCCAGTCATACTTTATCTGACGACCGCACATCTTGACAATAGCTCTGCAGTGTAGCTTCCATAGCAAAAGCTTCGTAGTAAGGCTTTCATGTCCAAAATACACCATCCCTCACTGAATATTTTACATAATCCATCTAGTGTACGAGAACGGCAGTTTCCCACGCCCGTTTCAATAGTTGTATCGCACATAAATCTATAGGTGTTGTGTCCGGCGACTTGACTTGTACGTCTTTGTATGGAGTAGCATTAATTATCGTTTCATTCTCTGGCTACTTGAAGTAGACGACTATTGAACGGGAAGTATGACTGGAAATATTATCATGGTGAACCCATACATTATTGGCTCCGCTTCAAGGAGGAAATCCTTCTTTATTATGTTGCCTGAGGCTCACGAACTGATTTGACAACGACCTTTAAGCTCATGAACTCTCACCTGGTACGACTTGTTGCAGGTCTCTTTCTGGATAGTGGTGTCCCAAGTTGATCCACATTCCTTTGTTTTCCAATGCCAATAAGTACAAGAGGTATCCTTGTGTGGGAATTCTAAATCCCCAGTCTGAACAAATCTGAATGTACGAATATTTTGAGTTGGAAAGGGTTGTTACTTACACAAAAACATACAACATACCAAGAAAAAAAATGCAGCTCTGATACCTTTTTGTTTACCCGACTTTATAGCGGTTTGGTTATCACGTGGCTTGCTGATTTACTTATTCAAAATTATTTTGATATAATATATTCAACCTGTAATAGACTCGATTGAATGATGGATCAACAGTTTCAATTAGTGATATCCCTTCCTCCAAGTTGTTTTACCTGAAACATGTTATGGAGATTACAGCCCAATTTATGATCTTTCAAACTGATTTAGCAGTTAAACATTAAAAGGCCACTTAAACAGGACACCAAGAGTTATTACGTATTTTTGGACTATTGCTGTTAAAAAACAAAATTGTGTCGTTTATGGGGTTTCTATTGTGTAAATTGTGACTAGTAGAAATCCTTTGTCACCCATGAAGACAGAATAAAGAAATATTCATGTAGTGGGTTTCTTTGGTAAACCTTTGCTTAGAAAAAAAATCACGTCTCCGGATGATGCTCTACGATCTCGAAATTTCTTAAATTTACACGAAATCAGTTGCTTTAGAATCCATATATGTGCTGTCAAGTTGTTCCTAAGAGTCGTATTTATATGAATATTTTGAAACTGGAAATACGTACTTAATGGAAAAAACACACAAGTGCTTGACTTGTTGACACTCGTGAGACTATCACCAAGTTAGTAAAACAGAGTAACACACTTCAGTATGAACACGTCACGAAAGAGTGACAGTTATCAATCGGCAAGGCATGTATCTGTGAAAAATGTGGTAGAATCTGTTCTTAACGATAAATTCTAAGGAAGCCTGAAATTTAACAGAGAAAATAACTGAGAAATCGAAAAATTAACGCATTCTTGTATTTCAGAAACTTCATGGTGCTGTTTTTGAAAACGAATATAACGATCTTGTTGACAGTTTAACGCCAAGGTTCGAGAATTAGTTGTTCTAGCTAAACATCATTTCCATGTACGCACCCTGCATTGCATCTCTATTACTGTACAGGCGTCGCTTTGATCTATATGTGTGGACGCAAACTAGCGAACGGAGTAGTGGCTGGTACTTCGAACGAAACGGCTGATTGTCGAACACACATCTGCTGCTCCTCTAACTTGACTGAAAGACAAACTTATGATAGACCAACGTGCAAATATATACTGAATAGCAAGGGAAGATGAGGTGAACACACTGAGTACGAGTCTTAGTAATAAACAAGTCTTAGCGAAATCCGTTCGTTAGAAGAGGAGGCACCTCTGATAATTCTTTTTTTTAACAAAACAGCGATTTTCCTCCACGCGATAGTCGTGAGAAGTTCTTTGTTTTGGAAGAAGTATGACGAAATTCGAACGCAGAAAAGACGAGGATAACGCGTTCATTGAGTGAAATTCCTGGAAAACTTCGTTCTGGCATAATGTGACAACAAAGATTCGGTTTTCTTAGCGGCTCAGAACCCAGTGTGTACTGTCTTCAGTTCTTGAATGAAACAGACATGAACTCAACTAAACATATGAAGGACTTGCTACTAAAATCAAACAGTGTTCCACTTATGGCCCGTGGGTGTCGGCGTGGAGACGTTTCCCGCCGTTGCAGATTACGACTTGACGGTTACTCTTATTTGATTGGTGAGTGTTTGTTTGATAAGCAAATCAATACTTATATATATATATATATGTACACGTGTACTTTATAACATATAATTTTTCCAGTCAAATAATAAACCGTATACAAATAACAAAGATAAATACAGTTGCTGCAAAAGCATCTTTTAAGATGTACACTTAAAATATAATTGAAAGAGTGCAATCAAATGACAGTTAGCACCAGGATCTTAGCGCTTTCGACGGATGAGCCTATCTTCATCTGCCCGTGTCTCTGATGGAGATAAGTCCGCCTGTCAAAAGCGCTAGGGCTTTATCCTACTTCTTTGTATGTGTGTCATGTTCTAACGTTTTTATATCCTACTTGTTTGTATGTGTGTCTTATTCTAACGTTTATATCCCACTTGTTTGTGTGTGTGTCATGTACTAACGTTTTTTCCTACTTGTTTGTCTGTATGTGTGTGTTACGTACTGACGTTTTTTATCCCACTTGTTTGCCAGTGTGTCATGTACTAATGTTTTTATCCTACTTGTTTGTCATTGTGTCATGTTCTAACGTTTTTTTATCCTACTTGTTTGTATGTGTGTCTTATTCTAACGTTTATATCCCACCTGTTTGTGTGTGTGTCATGTACTAACGTTTTTTCCTACTTGTTTGTCTGTATGTGTGTGTTACGTACTGACGTTTTTTATCCCACTTGTTTGCCAGTGTGTCATGTACTAATGTTTTATCCCACTTGTTTGTCATTGTGTCACGGTCTAACATTTTTATCATATTTGTTTGTATGTGTGTCACATTCTAACATATTATTCCCATTTGTTTGTATGTGTGTCACGTTCTAATGTTTTTATCCCACTTGTTTGTCAGTGTGTCATGTACTAATGTTTTTTATCCTACTTGTTTGTATGTGTGTCACGTTCTAACATTTTTATCATATTTGTTTGTATGTGTATCACGTTCTAATGTTTTTTATCCTATTTGTTTGTATGGGTGTCACGCTCTAACATTTTTATCCTACTAGTTTGTCTCTGTGTTATTTACTAACGTTTTTTTATCCTGCGTATTTTTTTACGATCATGACAATCAGAACTTTGGGATGAAGCTTTAGAGACGAACTGTTCAAAGTTGCCATCGTGGGTAATATTTCGGTAAAGCCTTAAACAAATAAAATAAGTTCAGTTTCTAGTTTTCTCGGTGAAACAAACATTTTACAACAGATCCGACATTTGTGGCTTAGCTAAAAAGTTAACGAAATCGAAAAACACCATTATCCATAAGTTATGGACATCAGTAATAGTACCAACAGTTCTACGATCATTACACACCAGTGTTCCTGTAAGTAACTGAAAACAGACATAGGAAATAAGAGAAATATTAACTTCAGAGTAGCAAGAAACAAGCTTGTATTACACTCAAATATGTACAAAGGGTTTAGGAGATACAATCATTGGGTTGAGTTATTGTTCTATATGTTATACAGCACTGGTATACGTCTATTGTGTTTAAATTTGACTGTCCCTCTCTCTCTTGTATTTTTTAATATACATAATATGCATTCTCCGAGCGATACCGTGCTCATCATGAATTATAACATTCTGTACAGGTTGATATAAGCAGACAAGCTAAATCATAATGTAAATAATATATATTATTCGAGTGATACCGTCATGCTCGTCATGAGTTACCAAGCAGGCGGTAGCACTGCCATGTAGGGTTGGCTTGGATTGTTCATCGAAATGGTATCTTAAATATCTCCCCAATAGGTCATCAGAACTTTACAGTACTATACAGTGTTTCTTTTATAACAATATCTATGTAATGACTGAGTCACAAGTTCTGGGAATATCTGTAAATATCATAACAAAAAGTTTGAAGTTCTTGTTCTTCTTTCTTCTGCTTCTTTTTTATTACATGATAACTGAAAAACTAAAACAACGATGTCAACTAATTTCACTGAGATGACATAGTTTCAAACGGAGTACCCGCTTTTATAAGTATTATTAATAAATAGTAATAATTAAAAAATATTCATAATTCTAGTGTAAATGATGTTATCACTACCCCTTGAAGTTAGCTTTTTTACAGACATTTGATGCTGCTTTAAAAAGCTTAAGTCCAGGGTGAAACAGGAATTGCCAGCCAATAATAGATAAAGAATAAATATTACAGTTGCTAACTCATTGTACTTAGAACTTGGTTGTAACTACAACCTTCCTATGTCTATTGAAACACTGCATTAAAAAAACAAGTAAAGTAAAAACTTAAAAAAAGGAAGTAAATGTAGGGATGGCTAGTATCAATCCTTCAAAAACAATGCAAACAAAATAGTAGGGATGACATTTGCACCATCCGTACATTATAGCACAGGCACGAATGAACATATTGTAATATATATAACAATTCAATCACAATTGTGTTTAATTTATCCTATTTTTGTCTGTTAACATTCTACTACACCGTGTGCCTGTGCTATCATATAGTAATGATGTGAATGCCATCCACACTGTATTGTTTGCATCGTTTTTGAAGGATTGATTTTAGTCATCCCCACATTTACTTCCTTTTTTTGAAAAGTTTTTCTGTACTTGTAACATTGTGTACAGGTTGATATAAACAGACAAGCTGAAATTATAATGTACATAGATGGTGAAACAGATAAAATGACTAACAAGTCAACAGAATGATGAAATTATAATGTACATAGATGGTGAAAGAGACAAAATGACTAACAAGTCAACAGAATGATGAAATTATAATGTACATAGATGGTGAAACAGATAAATTGACTAACAAGTCAACAGAATGATGAAATTATAATGTACATAAATGGTGAAACAGACAAAATGACTAACAAATCAACAGAATGATGAAATTATAATGTACATAAATGGTGAAACAGACAAAATGACTAACAAATCAACAGAATGATGAAATTATAATGTACATAGATGGTGAAACAGATAAAATGACTAACAAGTCAAGAGAATGATGAAATTATAATGTACATAAATGGTGAAACAGATAAAATGACTAACAAGTCAACAGAATGATGAAATTATAATGTACATAGATGGTGAAACAGACAAAATGACTAACAAGTCAACAGAATGATGAAATTATAATGTACATAGATGTTGAAACAGACAAAAGGACTAACAAGAATTTTTGAACTTTATATCTCCTTCCATTATTTTGTGTGATACTTAATGAATACAGATTTTAATAATCAGCTTCAACAGGAAAATATTTAAATTACATATAAAACCGACAGTGGTATTTGTAAACTGAAAAGTACATACCAGAGGTCAGAAACCGATATGTCAGTAAATAAACAGCTTATAAAAAATATCAATGGTTTCATTATTTGCCCAACGGGTAACTATACTTTACAACCTAAACAGGAACTTGTGAAAATAGTTTTCTAGTGTTTAGAGTTAACTTTCAGTTATATACAACAGCGGAATTAACATTTACGTACGGGTAACTATACTTTACAACCTAAACAGGAATTCGTGAAAATAGTTTTTCAGTGTTTAGAATTATTTGTTTGTTCGTTTGTTTTAAATGTCGCGCAAAGCTACACGAGGGCTATCTGCGCTAGCCGTCCCTAATTTAGCAGTGTAAGACTAGAGGGAAGGCAGCGAGTCATCACCACCCACCGCCAACTCTTGGGCTACTATTTTACTAACGAATAGTGGGATTAACCGTCACATTATAACGCCCCCATGGCTGAAAGGGCGAGCATGTTTGGTATGACGGGGATTCGAACCCTCGACCCTCAGATTGCGAGTCGAGCGCCTTAACCACCTGGCCATGCCGGGCCGTTTAGAATTAATAGGTAGTTATATACAACAGCAGAATTAACATTTACAAACGGGTAACTATACTTTACACCCTAAAGAGGAACTTGTGAAAATAGTTTTTCAGTGTTAACAGGCAGTTATATACTATCAAAGTCCTGTATATTTTGAATGAATAACACCTACTCTTCTATAATTTACAAAGAACAGTTGTAATGGATTAACTATTATTTAAGTTTTTCGTAGACAAATTGTGGAACAAATGCACTCCAAACAGAGTTAGTTATATATTTTAAGTTGAAATAAAGCTTTAATATAACACCGTTTGATATTCGTACCTTGTATCTTAATATATTATATTTTCCTATTTAGAATTATCTAAATCTAATTAGCTGTTGTTTTTTTTACTTCTATGAAAAATATTGACACACCCCCTGAATATTCTCAGAAAAATAATTATATATATGCAAGTATATATATATACATGCTAAGCCTTTATCTTCCATTTTTTTTATGAGTGGTTAGTGTTGTCAATGAGCGCACGTGTTTATTTTTACAAGAATATTCAAGTTTGTGCCTGCATTACATCCGCTGCTGTAGAGCTCGCGCAAGACAGCATAAGAAAAAAAAAAGGCGTTATTTATCAGATAACGTTAGAGGTAAGATGTAAAGACAGGTAGAAATAGCTTTAATACCTAACTTATATGCATTATATTAAAACAACATGTGTATATGCTTTATGTCATAATGTAAGTTTATTATTTTTTAAAAGTTTAGTCAAGCTAGAAAGTATACTAGAACTATCCATGTCATCCGATTTTATTTACTTGGCTGCTTGTCTTTTTGTCTAAATTATTATTTTCCTTCCTAAGAAACTTACAGTGTTTTATAGTGTAAGGTAAGACGCCCTCTATGAAATTCACTCACTTTTATTATAAAATTATCAAATATCATGAAACCTCACGTAAACCTTTGACAGCTGGCGAGTCTGTGGAATGTCCAACTTTTTTGTGATACATAAGACACAAGTGTTGTAAAAACACGTAGATCTTTGACAGATGGCGAGTCTGTGCAATGTCCAGCTTTGTTGTGATATATTTATGTAAGAGGTAAGTGTCGTGAGAAATACGCAGATCTTAGATAGATAGTGAGTCTGTGAAGTGTCCAACTTTGTTGTGACACGTATGCATAAAACACAAGTGTCGTGAGAAATACATATATAT